TGCTATCACTTTAGGAGTGAACACTCGTCATTTTCATTTTTTATCTAAATTCTCAGTTCAAGAAAATGCTGACAAAGGCAGCTGACTGATAACTCACTACTCTAAAACTGTTTCGTAACTCATATTCATTGTAAGCTTTTTTGAATACAAGACATTTCAGCGTTGATAACTTTGCATGCCAAATGATAGCAAGTTAAATCGACACGTACAAACAAATATGTAGGTACATGCATATGTATATGCTGCATAAGATGCAGTCACATGATATCTAATTTTGTAAAGCCTACTGGCGCTTTTTCATGGATAGACAATTTTATTGGTTCTAAAATGAAATGCAAATATTAAGGGTAATAACAATCTGGTAAATTGTGTCTTGCAATTACATATTTCGATGCTTATACACCGGACTGTGATTACCCTTACTATTGCGCATCTTTAAAAGCATCAACAGAAATGTATGCATCTTTATGCACCTACATACCCTTGCGGTCAAAAGTGGATGAATGGTGTTTTGTTTTTAATATTGACGTTTTTCAAGCTAACATTTTTTTGGGTAATTTTTCATTAAAATGTATAAAACAACGGTCATGCTACCAAATACTAAATAACTAAATTTTAGTATTCAAATTAACAATTTAACAAATTTTGAAGAGTTTTTTATATACTACTATTTTACTGCTCGCAGTAATTTCCATAAAAACACATCTTACGTGAATTAATTTTTTTATTTTTTAAGTAAATAAAACTCTTTTGAATCTACATTTAGTTACAAAACTGTCCGTTAGTTTTCAATAAAATTAATACAACTATTTGTTTTTTGGCAAATTCGAAAAATGTTAACCGTAAGTGCACACTACTATTTTAGTGCTCGCAGCTGTATGTACATATATGTCTTTATAAGCGCGGAAATCGAACCATTAGTTAATATGGAAATCTCACAAAGGGTAAGATCGGCGCTAAAAAGCGGTGGTTTATAAATGGGAAATACTGTATTAAAACACAGATGGAAGGGCATTCAATTGTATGCCGCCGGTCAGTCACGGGAGCTGTTTAGACTCCTTAACTTACAGGTTTTTACAAAAACTTGCAGGAAGTTACAGGAAAAATTATCCCGTACGTACGTAAACGAGAGCGATTTTTAGAGAGTTGGGTACAGAATAAAGTTGCAAGATTTTACCCGAACTTTTTCTTCCGGTCACAAAGTGTCAGCGATCACTGGTTGACGTTTTTACAGGAAAAATACTTTTTTTGTTCCCGCACTTTTTGTGGTTACTAATTTTTTACTCTCACTTCAGAGAGTAATTTTGCTGTTGACCTTACAGGATTTTACACGAAAATTATTGGATCAGAGCTATTATAGGTCAGCATCTAGACACCTAATGGTTGGAGAATTTGGGCCAAACATTACATATGTACATAAATGTACATATATACATATACTATTCTTAGGTTTATACGTCATATGGGTAGCACGTGGTTGGTGTTTGCACGTCTTGAGGCACATATGTACATATGCACGCATGTATAAATTATAAGTCGACATCTTAATTCATGTAATAAATAATCTTATCATTAGCTACAGATAACATTAGTCCATTAGTTTCAGTATACCTAGTACTGGCAACAATTGTATGTATAGCTAAATGAATATATTAATATGATTAGTAAAATAAAAAAAAAAAAACATATGTATATTTTTACCGAAAATAACTAATTCCGAAAATTACTACATACATATATAAAAACTAATATTTGGATATTATCAAATTTACAAAAGTATTAACTATATCAATTAATTGGGATGTAAATCAGAATATTCACTTATGTATTCCTGATGCATGCGTAATATCTGTCCTCCAAATCATGTAGATTTATTTTTAGTTTTATGAAACATTTGCGACAGCATGCAATCGGTGCTCTTACCGCGTTCGGCCCCTCGCATGCCTTTTAATTGAATATTTAAAAATAGTACCATTTCATTTTACACACGGACATAATACAAATTTAAGCCAAATTATCATTGATTACATACCATAACACAGCATGTATGTACATAGATTTATAGCCAATTAATTTTACCAGATCATTTTTCATCACTGTCCTTTCAGCGGTTACATACAAACCGCAATGTACGGAAATAGTAGAACATCAACGGAATATTAAACATAATTCAATACTTGTCGTTTTCAATCAAGGTTTTGTTTACCTATTTATGTATGCATGTACATGCGTATTGACTCTGATTAATATTCCCAACCTAAAAAGGTCCAATATTCACATTCTATTTAGTGCCAAGTCGGTGCTGGACAAGCGTTATATTATTATTATTAAGACAAAGCTAATGAATAACATGTGAAAGCAAGCGCGTTTATTGTTTTACCAAATTAGATCTGGATGAAAGTAACAATGGATTCATTTCATTTGAAATCACTATCGTATACCGGCACTTGCTTTCAATTATACACATTTCGTACATCTCCATTATGGAACATAGCTTTGTTGACTATGAAGCAAAGGCGGCGTATGGAAACTTAGTTCTTATTTATATAGAAATATACCATTTAAGTACATAGAGAAAAAATTCATTTTGCAATTACCTTCGCCGCACAATTAGCTTGACATAACCGCATGAAGACTGCCGTTTCCAAAAACGTTGCTGAGCCTTGAGGAACCAAGTTGAGCATCCGCAAATATGTACGCTTGTCTTCCACTTGAAAACAATTTGATTGCCGACGAATGGTCAAAACTTTAGTTACAGGTTGTACATATTTATTTCTGCACAATACTACAGATGCAGCTCAGGCGTTTGCTTTTCTGCCAACAATTTTGCTTAGCAATTTTGCTCTTCTTGCACCTGATGTAGACCAAAGGCATCGGGCCTGAATATCTTTTACCAAAACCCAATTTTTAGATTTTATAAATCCCTTTTTCATGTACATATATATTATCGCAAAAAATATTCACTTTACTAAATTAATCGAAGTTTACACTCGAACCGGATTGCAATTACTAAAACTGCGGAATTGAAAATTTTGCTACAATTCTGCACTACAGGGATCCACATTCAAGATAGAGTTGCCTAACTTCTGCTAATGCCTGTGTTCTTTAAATGCAATTCATTAAGTGAAATTTGCTCACACATTTTTAAAACTACTATTTTAATTTCAATTCACATTAAAAATACGAGCACACGCTTAGTTTGCTTAAAAAATGGGAGATATTCCCAATAAAACTAACCTCCGAAATTGTGAAATGCTTTCCAACCACGTAATGCAACACTGGATCTGCGACGACTATAGATGTGAACGGAAGCACGAGTGTGATAGCAATTATAATTGGAACGCATGCATGACTGAGGCAAGCATACGCTTATCTCTGTCAGAAAGAGAGATAGAAAAAAGGTTTGTGTGTTTGCTGAAAGCGATTAGCTATTAGCACAGGGTGTTAAGAATAAACGCGTAAATAAAATGATGCCGGGAGTTTTGCTAGAGAACTATTTTGTCATAATTACTAACCATGGGTGTTATCCACCCATAAGTATTTTATTATTATCTATCTTACCAAAGAACGTAGATAATCTAATAAAACCGAAATCAGTTGCTATTGTTCGCCATTTATATGAGAATATCCTTGTCTCATCCGTATGTTCGCGTATACGGATAAAATCCGCATAGTACGGATATCCGGTTCATATTCCGCCATTTTCTTATCCGGATATTTGGGTGGCCGCTGCACAGTGGTTCAAACCTGGAATTTAGTTTAATTTCACTTGATATTTCATTCAATTTGATTTTTTTTTAATCAAAGCTAATAAAATTTGCAAGAGACCAGTCGGGCCCGATTTTTTAATTTTTGTTTGCTTGTATCAAATCTAGTGAAAAGTGCAGAGAATCGACTTTCTCTCTTCTGTTTCAGTTAATAAATATTACATAACAAAAACGAATTGAAAATAATTGTAGGGTGCTCCCGAAACAAAAAAAAAAAAACAAAAAAAATCCAAAAAAATATTCCTAAAAAAAATTTCATTCAAGATGAACTCTCAGCCACTTGCAACCTGCACTTAATTATACTAAAATTTAGTGAACTGAATACCTAAAACTTTTATAAAACCCAAAAACAAAAAAAAAAAATTGGTGAACATTTTTGTTTAATTTTCTTTTCGTTTTGGAGAACCCTACAGTTGTTTTCCACTAGTTTTGTGTGTGTGACTAGTGTGACAACATCAAGGCGCGCGCCACAAATCGGAGGAGAAGCTCGGCCAAACACTAGCTAATGTGTACCTAATCAGCATTTGAACGGATTCGTAAAATTATTTTCTTAATTAGTGAATCTATCGAGTTATCAACTTTAGTTTTAATTATCTCAACAAAATGTCAGATATACTTAGATCGTTTTGATTCTAACCCCTTCAATTATTTTTTATTGTTAATTTTTGTACTCAAATATTCAGATATCATTATTCGCAAATCCAAATAACAACACACTTTTTGGATACCTAGTTATTCGGATTTATTATTCAGATATTCGAGTTTCCGGATAGTCCAAAAAGCCGAAAGAAAAGTATACGTTTGCCATAAAAATAACGTTATTTTTTGGTTTGTTCACCTTTTAAAATAGCTTTTATGAAACCATCGGCATTTATGTATATATGTATATGTACTCTAATAGCGTTTTCTTTTCTCGAAATAATATTGCATTTATTCTGCCCTGCGCTAGTGCTGTAAAGTTTTCGTGCTTCACATGTATATTGCGTGCTCTTTCTTTAAAATGTTGCACTGTGATTAGTATGTTGCCCTATACGAAGGTGACATTTTTTCGAAAAAAAGAGACATTCAGAAATATGTAAATGAGGATTACATCTACACTCTTTGACGACTTTCCTTAAAACGTTTAAATTATATAAGAAATTGAACTTACGTGTGGTTTACACCCTGACAATAGTGACGCAGGGTTAAATAAATAAGTATGTAATTTACTCTCAATTATTTTTATCATATTTATTGACAGTTTTGTACGCGTCGCATATACAGAATAATAATTAATGTAATTAATTTAATTTTAACATCAACAAAAAACAATTTCTGCCATACTTTTGTACAAACAAAGTAAAATAAATAGAGACTAAAATGTCGAATTAATGGTAAATGATTTTTATAGTGCTTACACACAATACATACATACATATGTACATATGTATATTCAGCAACCATGCATATACAGTGAATATTCGAATACCTAACATGCTTTCTATAATATGAACAGTGACAAAAAATTTTTGAAGCCAACTTGAATATTTCCTTCCCATCGTAGTCATATGACAACTAAACTTTGTTCGTTGTTTGAGGCCGTGTATCAATTTAACAGAGGTTTTGGATGAAAAACATTACATCTTGAAAACATATTGAACATATTGTGCACTTGCTTAAGTTTTTTTAATAAACAGGTTTTGTTGAACGTTTCAACCTTAAGAAAATAGATACTTGCGCTCAAACTTAGATTTTTATTTTATCCTGCTAAAAAATTCAGGAAGCATAGGGTAAAGGCTGCCAAACTAAGTGGGGTTTTTATGGGAATTCAGAAAAATCAATTCAAATAAGACTTTTTTTTGTTTTTTTTTTTGATTTTTGATTTTCACATTATGTAGATGATTCGTATTACTAGAGATGTCCACTGTATACACATATCACTTCTAGTAGATATGTAGATGGGGTGCGCAATTGTCTATGAGTAAAATGTCAAAACGCTTGTTTGGTTGCCACGTACAAACAGGAACGGTGGCATATCTCGGCTCAAACTCTCTAGCCATGCCATATATAACGGCGCTGAGACAATGTTCTTCCGAGGCATCGGTAAAGTCATTACAACCAAATCGGATTTCATCGACTGCTCGTGTAAATATTCGCGAAGGCGTAAATAACGGTTGGTTTTGTCTTGTACTGCCATCAAATCATCTTCGCTAATAAAGGCTAAAAAAGAAGTCAAGAAAAANGAGTAAAATCAAAATACATACATCTATAAAATTTATGTGTACACTGACATTTTTTTTTTGTAATTTAAACGAAGTTAAAAAATACAAGTTTTTTCTTATTATACGTTGAGCGAATGAAAATTTTTATCAATGGAAGTATTTACATACATACATATATGTATGTGGAATGTTACAGTGGGTTAATAAATGATAGCGACCTGTGGCTCAAAATTTTACATTTTCATTCGTATCCTTGGAATACTCCTCGCTTGTAAAAATCCCACCTTAAAGCGTTAATAACGTAACGTTATTTTTCGATTGTGAATGTGCCCCCGTTTATTTAATATTTAATGTCTTCAACGAACCACTTCTAAACTACTGATCAAAAGTCATATGCAACTCGTTCTAACAAATTTCGATTTTAGTACACTTTTTCGAATAATCGTCGAATCGTTCGAATCGGGTTCACATTACTTTAAAATGCAATTCGAATTTAGTTAACTTACCTTCATCTTCGGGTGTTGCATTCGAGGGCCCATTGTCTTTGTCGCTAATCACAAAATCCTTAATGAGTTCATTAAAGAACACTGTTGTTGTTTCTTGTGGCTTTTTTGTTATGTCGGGAATAAGCGTCAAATCCGAGTAATCGATACGGAACTTGGATAATAAACTTGCCATTGAACGTTGCTCGAATTCCAATTCAGCTTTTTTGTTTGCCAGAGCGTATACTCTACAAAATAGTTATTAAGATTAGTCGTCTTCGAAATTAAGGCTCGACGAGTGAGTGTAAATATTGATATGTAGGATAGTTAATAGATGGACCGCGGTTATGCATAAGTGTTTCGAACTATTCAGTCCTATATGTCGGCTACGAACCAAACCTAAGCCGATTTGGCGGCCACCAGATGGGAGCGCACTGAAAACTGTAATAAAACGAAGCTTACATGGCCGAAATGGAATATGCGGAGATCGAGAGAAATTCTCACTCTCAATAAAAGCGATATGTCAGGGGACATATTTTGATAGGAAGGCGTGCAGAACGCCTCGGGGCTAGTCACAACGACTACTGCAGGAGCTGCCACGATGAAGAAGAGCCTGAATCAATAAGGCACTTACTCTGCGATTGCCCTGCACTAGGTTGGAAAGGCAGAAATTCTTAGGTAGGTATAGGCTTTCTAGACGATCTAAGCGCAACAGCTAAGTTTGGAATAAGACATTTGCTGAGGTTCGTAGACTCCACGAATTGGTTTGAGGAGTAGGGGTTTTGGGATCTATGTGGTATCACAATGGGCCCTGATTAGGCCTTAGTATGCTGGCGCCCTCTGGGCCTGGCAGTCACTTCAATCTAACCTAACCTATGTACACCATCGTCTGCGCATAAAGGACAACTATGTACAACATATGTGGAAGTATCGAATTCTCCCACTAAATCTAAAGGATTTCTCTGATTTAACCCATTTGATGTTATTATTATTTCTTTCTCTATGTTCCATACCAAAAAGTACTTACCTCAATTTGCACGATTGCCAAGTTCGACGCGTACTGATTATATAAGGCAGGAGCAGGGTAAGTCCTCCGTCGTCGTATAGCCACCAAACATCAATAACCGCATGACTGCGCTTTCGGGTGAATTGTGTTAATTCCATGAGGATTTCCTTTGGCAGCTCAACACCTCCAGGACCCTTATACAGAGAAGCCGGATCATTATGCTTCTGCTTCGATTTACGCAAAGAATTCGTCTAAAATCGAAAATTTTAAAACAATATTCAAGCTCTCTTCAAGTAGAAAGTCGCAGAAACATCGCGACAACCTATGGCTTCGATGCATACATATGCACTTACCAAGAGTTGAGGCGATTTAGGGTCAACTGGATCGGGCAAGCCAGATACTTCTTTAACTTGGCTGCCTGCCATGAATGATAGGTCGCTGGTGCTAGAGGCTGTTTTATGAAATAATAAAATATTTTTTAAACAATGCAAATATTTAAGTTTGTACTATTTACATTTCGACACAAGTACGTACAGTCCGTCATGTACAGCGAATTTTTTACAATACGGGCAACTATTTTTAAATATTTTATTTTTCGCTAATTTTTTATAAAAATATGGTTAATTCTACAACAAAAACCCCAAAAAACAGAGTTCCAAACCTTGTGCAAAAGTAAAGAAAATTATTCAAAATTTCATTCAAATATTGCACTTTTTTTTGCGCTCCCTAGAAAAAAATTGAGTATGCAGTTTTTTAGCCCATTCAATTTTAGTATAATAAGGTGCAAGTATTAGAAAGCTAGGACTTACCATTGATTTTTGGGGAATTTTTTTGTTGAAGGTGTCGCACATTTTGTCCATATAAAGAATTATCAAATATTATTTTATATGGAGAAAATGAGTGACACCTTCAACAAAAAAAATTGCTAAAAATCAATGGTAAGGCCTAGCTACCTCAAACTTGCACTTTGTTATACTAAAATTGAATGGACTAAAAAACTGCGTACTCAACTTTTTTCTAAAGAGTGTAAATAAAAAGAGCAATATTTCGATGAAAATTTGCAGAATTTTCTTTACTTTTGCACAAGGTTTGGAACTCTGTTTTTTGGTGTTTTTGTTGTAGAATTAACCATATTTTTATAAAAAATTAGCGAAAAATAAAATAAATATATAAAAGAATATAAATATATAAATATACTTTGAATATATGAGCAAACTATTAAGCAAAATACATAAAAAATGAGAAATCAACAAAAACCAATTTTCAAAACTGAAAAATAAAATATTTAAAAAATAGTTGCCCGTATTGTAAAAAGTTCGCTGTACCTAAACTTTATTGACTGACTGTATGAATATATATGTATATGTATGTATTTTACTATGCACTATTTGTTTTTATCCAACTTTAACATGCCACTTACTTTTTAACAGTTTCAAGTCATTCTCTGTGTTAGACAAGTCTCCGGCATCTATTTATTTAATGCGAGTACATGTATGTATGTATATATGTATATCGAGCCGCAAAATGCAGTGTATTTACATAGTCACAGAATTTTTGTGTGTAAATATGTTGCCATAATCAGTATAGCCATTTTACAGTGCATCGGGGTGCATCAGGTGATAACGGATTCCATTTGTACATATATACAACGTGGTGGTGTGTGGTTTAGAGGCATTCAATAAATTAGTGCAAGCATGCAATAAGAAAAATAATAATTATTACTACAAAATTAGCATATGTATATTTATACATATATATTATATATATATATAAAGTCTCTTTGCAGAGAGGCGACAGCTTTGAAAACGCTTTTCCTGGGAGTAATTTATGGGTCGATTATGAATATGTTTATTCTGAATAGCAATCAAATATGCTATCAATTGAAGATATAAGAATTTTAAAGCACCAGCAACCAAGACTTCAGTGTAGATAAGGCGCAGAAACAAATTAAAAAATAAATAAAATTTCTCCATCAAAATTTCCTTGGCAACCAAAAAAAATTAAGTTGCCAATGTAGTAACTCAGCTGCCAACTTTCAGTTGCCAGTTGCTATTTGGAATACCAATCCAGCCACTGCCAACAAAAATGAAGTTCGGTTATCATCAGTAACCGAACCATTAATTGTAGGGCGAACGTTGAGTGGCAATCTCAATTTAACACTTCGTTTTGGGCCTGGTTCATTGGTGCCAGAGTATAGGCTTTACCGTATCTGTCAAAAAATCATTAAGTGGTAGTTACTATAGGAACAGGCCCTTTTCAAGAATATGGTTGAGAAATCCTCTAAGAATATGCGATAAAGCTATAGGTAAGAAAAAAGAGAAGCTCTTGGCAGTATTTAATATATGTATAGTATAATGGCATTGAAAGCTCTACTGACACTACAGGGTTTTTAAACCCAGAAACTTACTAAAAGGATGGGCAAGGAAGGAAGGGCAAGACTTATTTGTATAAAAGTTTTTGTGGTATTATTGGAAATGTAGGTAAACTTTTCAAGTTTTTAAAAGCATAAATTTTTACTGCTTTATGTTTAATCAGCTAAATTATCTGACGTGACGTTACCTGGCGTTACGTTACTAAAATTTCCATTAAAAAAGTTTTGTTAATATTGTTCTTGAAAAAATTTTTTAACGGGAATAAAACATGCATTTTATGTCGAACGTGCTTTTTATTTTGACATCAGCGATACCAGCGGTTCCATTTTTGGCAAATCTATGTCTTAGTACGTTTCAACTAAACATGCCAAGGGTGGAACAAATCAGGACATAAGTACGGGTTTTCAAAAAAATATCCCGACCCTGGTTCCACCTAACGAGACCATTTTTGGCAAAAATGTTTCTGCTTACATATGTAGCCCGTATATATTGTAAAAAGCAGTCAAATCGACCTATAAATAAGTTAGATTTTTTTTTTATTTTTTTTTTTACGCGGTAGACTTTTCGCTGGAATCGCCCATATACAGAGAATCAGTTTTCAGTATATACATATGTACATAAAATACATAGAGAATTCCGAATATCATACATATAATTTACAAGATTTCTAGATAATATCCGTTCTATATAAGTATGTACATAGGTGCATGCTCATATTCGACTTAGTAATCATAGCTTACCCTGAGAGACATTTCGGCTCAGCGAATCCATACTACCACTTAGTCCATTTTGTACACTCCTATCGGCGGACATCAAATCTGCGGAGCTCTCATTCGGCTGAAGAGTGCGTGGAATGTCAATTACGTTTTTAGCGGCGCTACTTTCGTCTCCCAAAATCTGAGAGCAGTCAAGGCCATTCGGCAAGCGTAAAATAGCTACAGACAAATACATATCCAATGCCTACGACCATTTTACAATAATACAAGTTTATTTAACGTTCTCAAACGTGCTATGGTTGAATCTTGACTCACTTTATGCATAATGTTAAAGTATTGATCCAGATCCTTCTTTTCGCATGTCTGCCAGTCATTTTTATAACCCATAAGCAAAATGTTTGGCTTCAATTTTCCAATACCGGAAGCCTGCGAAGGTAACAACAATAAGTTCCGTGCATTCGACATTAAATGTAAAAGCGCAAAGAATTTTACCCACCTGCATTAGGGCTCTTGTTCCCGACTCAAAGTCCTCCCCATCGACGAGCGCGTAGAAGCCCTTAACGCCGTGTTTGCGGAACCAAGTTGTGGCGCGATCTTGCAAATAATTTCTGTAGCGTTGAGAACTAGTGCCCCGCAGCACGTGTCCGCAAACCAGTAAGGAAAGATTCTTGGTCAGCATATAGGCAAAGTCAACCAGTACTGGGCGTGTATTTGGCAATCCAGATAGAACCAGTATCTTTTAAAGGGCATAGTAATTGCAGTTAGTTACAGGTTAGTGTGTCCAAGGGGTAAAAAGTACCATTTAACTGGATTTACCTGTGGTCGATAGTTCTTAACGTGTTCTTCCACATTATTCAGCTGCTGCACAGACATCAGAGCGTTCTTGTACGTCTGCGCCTGCGTGGTCGAACCCCAATTGACATCGGGTTTGCGGTATGCCACAATTAAGTATAAAGCCAGAACTGCGACGAATGTGATGAGTGCCGTCGCCCACGATATAAGGAACATAACGGCGACACACAGCACCGAACCCACCAAACTAAGCCACATGTTGTAATACTGTAAGCAAAGTATTGAAGTACTAAAGTAGATGTATGCGAGTATGTACGAACCTTAAATGTTGGCCGCCAACCCACCGGCTTAGCTAAGCTGGCATGAAAAGTGCTGAAGTTAATGAGCGTATAAGCGGCAAGGAAAAAGTTCGAAATAAGCGGCGCGATCAGATTGAGTTCTCCAATTAAAATGAAACTGCAATGTGAAAGCCAAGCGGGTCGAATAACAAAAACAAAAAAAAATGGTTCATATAAAACCCAGAATATTCAGTTAAATATACATATATTGCATATGTGTGTATGTAATTTTATGTGTGAAATAAAACTTCAACAAAATGACTCACGCAACAGCGATGATGAATGTTAGCACATAGCCACGGACAGGCTCATTGTTTTTGCCATAACCTTTGGCGAACCACACGATTTTCGGATAGAGTTCATCTTTGCAGAGCGCCTGTAGTAATATATAAAGAAGACCACGGTAATAAACATTCCAAGAACTAATGGCAATTCTTATTCGCCCCATACTTGAAACACTTTTGGCGCTGAAACCAAACTGGCTAAGGCTGAAGAAATTGCTGCAGCAAAACAGCCAGCATATATCAGAGGTCCGAAAGCGGAAACAAGCTCAATCACTTGAAACGAATTCTGTAAGCCATAGTTGCATTCACCTAAATTTTTTGAAATTTGAATTCAACGTTCAATAATGAAATGATTAGCATTGGTTAGCATTTTGAACTTACCTGGCGTGCAATTCAGGAAAGCGTACGAGCCATTTATAAGATCAGCTACATTTCCGTTAGCGTCTCGAGCCACTGTGGCTCCGCATATGAGAACCATTAGCAGATATGTAGCGGTTGAAATCAGAATAGCTATCAAGGTACCTTTTGGTATCGATTTTTGTGGATCCTAGCAGAAAGTTGTACAATTAAAATCGTATAAATTTTCTGGCTTAAATTCTTTTTATTTTTAAGTAAAAATCGTACCAGTATTAAGCTTTTAAATGTCCGTTAAGCCTTTGGCAACGAAAATGTTGATAGTGATAAAAATACAGATAATGATATATGGATATATGCAGATAACCATTTCGATAGAAGCTTTCTTTGCACACCTTTATGCATTCATACATATGTACATATCGAGCCCTAACCGCCAAAATAACGTAAGCGACATTTTTTTCAAAATTTTCTTTTTGATGCAGAAATATTCCTAGAGCGTCTAGATGCATTTCTGCATCTAAAATAAAATTTTGAAAAAAATGTCGCTTACGTTATTTTGGCGGTTATGGCTCGATATTTTGAGTGAAAATTCTAATACGTATGTAGTAATGTGTTTTCTAAATACCTTCAAATCGCCCGAGATGTTTGCGCCTGCCAAAATACCGGTGGCTGCCGGAAAGAATATCGCTATGACCGAGAAAAAATCGTGCTGCACTCCCTCTTCCTTTCTGTAGTCGGCGAACAGATTTTCCTTGAAAATTGTAACTGCATTTTACAGACACAAAAATAGTAAAGTACATATATGGAAAGCTATAACCTGATTCACAATTGGTTTTTTTTTTTGCACTCACAGTTGTAGCCGATAAAACCCTCGGCTTTTTCCAATTCACTCTTTGGGCCAATCAATGAACCGATTATAAAATCTCCTATAGCTACTAATAAAATTATGAGTAAACCAATTTGGGCCTGAAATGTTTTGTAAACCATTATTTATTTAATACATAGTATATGTATGCGTGCGGTATGTAGACATGTCTGTCTGCTCTATTTACTTACCTTCGCCTCCCATTCCATACCAACAACAACAATAATAAGTAATAAGGAAATGGTGATACAGCCAATTATCCGCACATCTTGGGTACCACCATCAATAATACTGAGACCGAAACTATTCAATAGATCCAACATAGACTCACAAAAGCCCACAACATACATAGCACAAGCCACGGCATTCGCCAGTGAAAATATCAGACCAATAGATCCGCCGAACTCCGGACCAAGTGAACGGGATATCATATAATATGTCCCACCTTCAAAGAAATGGAACGGGAAAATTTTCAATATACAAAGGTATTAGTATTAAAATACGTACATATGTATGCACATAAATAAAGTTGTCACAGAATTCTTTAGTTGCAAAATTTTATATGGAATAATCTTGTCCCATTTAAAGTATATAACATTTATATTAACTATAGCATAACGATAACCCAAAACTTGACGTTAAACTTTCGGCTAAGAACTTTTATTGAGATTACCGCACCACACGAAAATACTTCTCACAACCGGTACTGAAGACCATCCAGTCTGAGCCCCGTCATAAGCTGATTACAGTGGATCTCTGTCCAAGCGAATAACCTCTTTTTTCCGCCACGCGTAAAATTAAATCTAAAACTAATGTACCGAGGGGCCAATAGCAAACACCGAACGCCCTGCGCCCTCGAGTTACCACCTCACTAACGCTAACTACCAAGTCAGTTGTCTAACCACTTCACCGATTAGGGAGGATCATGGGTACTTCGTGAAGGTGGAAGAGGACTTTTTATTGGCGTCATTGATTATTCTAAATTTGGACGTTTAATAGTCTGGGATGGTGCTGGTCACTAAGCACTAGCAACTGGTGGAGAAAGTCTCAGTAATGGTACCGAATAAATCCCAAACGTCATTAGTCTGAGTCTAAACTTTGATCCTTTGTTGTGATACCAAAAGATCAGAAGATCAAAGAGTATGATGAAAGTAATAAAGAAGGCACAATATTTGTCTAGTTTCAGGGGCACGTAAATTGTGAGTGATGATGATAGGTAGGTCTGTAGAGGTTGCGATCAATATACATAAGGGGGCTAAGTCTACCCCGGAGTTCGCCTGAAGGTTTTTGAAGCCCGATATATGCCAAAACGACCCAGTGAGCAGGTCTTGGTATCGTAGTACTCAAAGGAAAGTATTTATGTACATTCATAAGTAAGTAATTTTTTTCGAATAGTGTGGCGAATTCCGTACAACTTTTTAACCGAAACTTCAACTTCAAGTAGGCATGGGTTATCGTCATCCTAAAGGAAATATTTAGAATCGAAATTCTAAAAAGTAGGTTTTTTTTTTTAATATCCTTACAGGAAAAAACGATTAAGCTGTTTTTACAGGGTGCCGAAAAAAATGTTTACACCCTTGAAATATTCTCAAAGTCTTCTTCTTCTTCTTCTTCTTTGGCTCTCTAACCGCCTAAGCGATTTTGGCCGAGTTCAACAAAGCACGCCAGTGGTTTTTCTTCAAAATAGCTTGGAACAAATTGAACTTTTTCTGTGATACAGTTTTTAATGTAGTACATACAAGTAAAATATGTGCTTCATTACAAATATGTATGTACGTATTTTAAATGGCTCTTTCGCACTCTAGTCTTGCACTCACCCCCTTTAATCACACCATTTGTACTAATCGCTGACATTGACAGGGAAGTGACACACGTAACGACGGTCGTTGTCAGGATCAAAATGAAGCCTTCTATGATTCCGGCTTGTCCCACCACCCAGCTAAGACGTAGAAACAACATTACGCCCCAGATGTTGAGCAAACAACGGATCAACACTCCCTTAATCCAACCGAATTTGAAGGCTCCATTCATGTTAGCCGCTTCAGGGTCCTGATTGCGGCTTAAGCTGGCGCTCTGTTAAACAAAAAAAATAATAAGTAAAAAAAAAATTTTATTGGAATATTTTAAAAGGGGTTTTATTTATAGTTTCTGTAACGGAGTTAGGCTGATGAATACAAATATGTATATATGTATGTATGTATGTCATATATATATATATATACATATATAACTATGTAGATTCATGTAGCGTAGAAATCGTCGGTCTCCCAAAGGCCAAAAAGGCGCATTGAGTTCACTAAATGACGCATCAATTAAAAATTGGTCTTAATTAAATTATGAGTGGCTTTTGTGTCGGGAGTAATTGCCCAGTCCAGTCCATATTTAACTGCACAGAATCGGAGGAATGTAAATATGTATGTATGTACGAGTATGCGCCCATATCTGCGCGATTGTATGTTCGGTGTAATTGAATTACAGGGGTGACGGCGAGAAACACTGTACCTATTTTAAACCAAGTGCAGTAATTTGTTACAAAAAAAAAAACGGAAGAAAAAATAAAAACACAAATAAAAAGATGCCATGAAGACAATCGACAGTTTAAGAGATATATAAACGATGCATATATCAAAAAAATACATACATACATACATACAGAATTCAATTACGCAGCCATGCAAGAATGCATTAGATTTTCATTCTACATAAATAAATAATCATTTAGTTGGAATTACCTTTCCGGTCAAGGTTGCGTTGTGTAACTCATCAAGAGTTGGACGATAAGCAGCTTGAATTGACATAATGTTTCGATAGTTGTCCAATCTGGGCAAAGCTTCGCGGGTGAAGTGTCTGCAAGGATTTATTATCATTAATATTTGTGTATGTATGTATGTATGTGTGTATGTATGTATGTGTGATTTACAGCTATGTACATAAATATGTACTTTAATTGATTCGGGTAAACTTACCGAAAACTTTTTCCATACTTCGTGTCATACTCATTGTCTAATAGTTCGCGGTCTTCCTTAGTGCCACTGGAGTCGTCCGAGTCTTCCTCATTCGGGGGAGCTACTTGAAATCGTGTTGTTTGCGATTGAGAATCTTTGAACCTTGAGGGTTTGTCTTTATCACGAAAGCTGCTCTTTATAGAATGCCTAGTTGAGGAAATATGTAAAGTATGGATTTAAAAATGTATTTTGGGGGGGAAGACATAATGAAGTCTGCATCGAATTGAGTTAACGATATTGTTTTTGTCGACTCCTCAATAGTAGTAGCTATGGTGGAAGGCAATTTAATATGACACATTTACAGCGCTGAGGAGTAGATTTTTGGAAACGCATTATGATTTAACCCAAGCTAGATAATCTAAGTAAGGTATTCGTAATTAGAAACAGGCCTGGACGACGCCGACTGCGTATTACCCTCGGGGTAGCGTCGCGTGTTCATATACACGACGTTGAAAGCGAAAAAAATCCACCCTCTCATCGATTTTGTTATCGATAATTATCGATTTTGTTCTCGCTATTTATCGACTTTGTTAGCGATGTTTATCGATTTTTTTATCGATCTTGTTATCGATTCTTATCGATTTTGTTATCGATATTTATCGATTTTGTTATCGATATTTATCGACTTTGTTATCGATATTTATCGATTTTTTTACCGATATTTTTACTGATTTTCTAATCGATTAAGCTACCAATGGTATTATCGATGTTGCTATTGAAATTTTTATCGAATTTGTCTTCGATTTTGCTATCGATATTTTGATGGGCGTTATATCGATAGAGTATGAAGATAAAAATGAAGATAATGGAAAAACAGAATAATATGAATGTTATTAAAACGAACAGTGGAAGAGGTAGGGATCTACATTGATAGAAAAAAAGCGAAAAAATATAACCTTAAGCAAAAGCAGATGTGTATATGTATAAATAAATAAGTAACGTAAGTTTCACTTCTACAGTGTGGCCCAGGCGTACTTACTTTTTTAGGTATGTATTTGAAGAGGGTTGTCACCAAATTATTCTATAAGTTAAATAAATTATTACAGTATGGGTATCTATCGAGATAGTTTTGAAAAAGTTGTATTTCTTAATTAAATGAGGGAGGATTGCCACTGGCCTGATAAATTAAATTTAACTTGAATTAAGGGAATTATGGAGATGTTTAATAGACGTTTATGAAGGTTTAAGTTAGAAAATATTTTGAATGGGCTTTAGAAAATATCAAAATCTACTTTTTTCCTCAGTTTAAATGTGTTAACTTTAATTGAAATAAATTATACCCGACCCTCTTGGAAAATTCTTACAAATTTTAATTGTTTCATTCCGCCACCTCCTTGTTTACACACATATGTAGGTAATAGTAACCTAAAATCTTACCTATGTGTTCGCTGCAAATTTTGTTTGTTTAAGATATCGGTAGCGTTTTCATTGAAAGTGTCGTCTTCCAATGCTTCTCCATCGCTATTTACCAAACGCCGATAGACCTCTTGTGGCACATTAAGTTGTATCATCTCATTCGCTTTGTGGTTAACAGGATTCACTTGAAAGCGATTTACTGGGCGATCGACAGAACTCATTTCGAAAGATGAGGTATCAGACATATTTTTGTTAAAATTATACTTTTGCTCTTTGGCGTAGTCGCATGAACGTTTTGAAGGTGTTCAACTACGAGAATCGGTGAATGTAACTGCAAAAAATTAAAAAAATATAAATAAATTTATTAAAAAAATTAACAAATATGTACACACATATGTATGTACGTATGTATATGTTTTATGATTAACACTTCACAGATGCTTTTTCGTAATTAAGGGTGTGTTCAGTAATGCATCAAGCCAAAGCATCAGACGCATTTATTTCTAAACTATAATTGATGGAAATTTTCCAATATGCGCAACCACGGTTAAATGCCTAATTGGAACTTAGTTGCGTAAATAAGGCATTTCCATCAGTTTTAGTTTAGAAATAAAAGAGACTGATGACTGCTCGTAGTGATGTTTAGATTAGAGTCCGACCGATTCCCAATTTTTGGCTTTAAAAAAAAAAAATTAAAAATTTATGGAAAGCGTGTGTGAACTTTGTCAACACGCGGAATACCAACTACATACATACATACATATGTACGCACTATTTAAAGGCAAGTCCACATTTACTTGTTTTAATTTTTTTAGATTATATTTAGTTTTAAACTGTATCTAAAATAAAAAGAAATTAAGCTACCAAACTGTATCCCTACCATCACTGCTGCGTATTTACGTATGTACGTACATACCTACATTTTTATGAAAACAATTCACTTAACTTATGTTGCTATTGAAAATTTTTTTTTGGCGCCATGCCCTAACATTTCATTATTTACAATGTTTTACTACTTCTCATTTGCATAGTTGGCTGGTGCTGTCACATAACATTCTAAAACAATAACAAAAATATTATTACATACCACATTACCTGCCATTGTGTATTGACAATTCAATGTCAAAGCTTCATTCATACTTGTACATTAAATTTATTAGGGTTGCATCATTCTGAATGGAGATTTGAAATTGGGGGCTATTTTTTGCAGTTAGCGGTACACTATGCACACCTGCATATGTACATCACCGCGAACACTCGCAAAATCAGCAGCAGATGGAATTATCGTCTCCACAACTATCCAAGGATTTTGGAGGAATTTGGAGTACGGGATCATTTTTCCTGTAACTTCCTGCAAGTTCGTGTAAAAACCTGTAGGTTCATGGAGTACTGGATCAGAGCTAAAATTTGCTTTCGGATTTAAACAAACGACAGCTGTTATGGCAATTTGAAAAAAGTCCGGGCTCTTTCGGGCACAAAGCAGAAGAAGACATTTACGATCCAAAAGTGGAACGTATTCGCTCTCTCTATTACCCATTTTTGTAGCGTGAGGAACCCGCGGGATCCCGCGTGCTCGCGTGGAACTGTAGACACTTTTCGATTTGAAATCGATAAAGATAACGGAAATATTGCGCTATCTGAAGCTGTAACAGCAAGTATTTTTCTAGCTTCATTCAGTTTATACAGTTGGGTCCAATATATGAAATATAGTATGGGGATTTCTATTAATAGCAAAACAGTTTACTTTTGCTTGATTTGTCAGAGAAATTTATTTACTGACATTTATGAAAGGATGCAATAAATGTTGATCATTTACTTTTTTATGAATGAGCTTCAATGAATTTATGTCGACATATGTGCATGTGGGAAGCCACAAGTAAACACATTCTCACCATTGTTTTTGAAAAAAAAACAACGGTGAATTTATTGAAACAAAATGGTAAACATTTTACTTAACAGCTGAAACAGACGCAATTGTTTTTTTGTTAAGGTTTCAAAAACAAAAACAGCTTTCAGGAACTGAACAAGTAAATATAGTAGATGCGGCGGCGACTATATTATGTTTTCGTATAGCCCAGTAATATTAGACTTTTTCTTAAAAAAATTTGTAACAGCAATTTTTTGATGCAGTTTACTTCTATTTCAAATTTCATTTGGCAACATTTCGCCATCTTGGATTTAAATTTTTTTTGTTTTTTTTTTTTGTATAGAAGGTTTTTTAAAAATAGCATTTCTTATTGTAAAAAATTAGCAAAAACTGCGAAAAATTTTACTTTCAACGGAAATTGTTAAAAAATGGGGAAAACCGTGACAATGTAAACATTTTTCGCAGTATTTGCTAATTTTTCACAATAAACAATGTTATTTAAAAAAAACCATCTATATAACAAATGTGGTAAATGAATATTTGTATTTAACCATTTTTTACGAAAAATGCAAAATAAGCTTACGAATCGCAAAAACCCCAAAAATAAAATCCAAGATGGCGGAATGTTGCCAAACGAAATTTGGGGCAAATTGGATGCATGATCTACGTGTCAAATAGAAGTAAACTGCATCAAAAAATCACTGTTACAATTTTTTTTTAAATTTTCTAACAAATTTATTTAATTTTTGAATAATTAAAGATTTGCTCACTAGTGACATTTGACACTCCCTTACAAAAGGTTGCACACACACACACACGCAACCACACACAGTGCCTTGCTAAGGGAGCCGATTTCCTGTAGGGGAACCCCGAACTGGTGAACCAAATTTATAGTTCCGTACTAGATCTTTATTGCCGCAAAATAACCCGTCCGATAGTAGCTAGATCCCAACCAGTTCAAAAGCAGCGACATGTGGTACTTTTAAAAAGCAATTTTATTTTTACAAATCTATATCCAAAATGACGAATTTAGAGCTTTAGATTAGGAACTATCGAAAAAGGGATACAGCGCGGGCTTGTTTGCTTTAAATAGATTTTTGCTTGGCGGCTTTTTCGTTCAAATACGCTTTCCGTATGCACTTCGCAGCTGATTTTTCATAGTTCAGTAATATAAAACATAAATGGGTGTGTTAGCATTTTAACATTTTGGGACCTTCTGGAATCTAACCAATAAGAGCAGGCACCTCCGTACACTCAGCTACAGCCAAAAGTATGTAAACGGGTTTTCAACTGCTCAGCTTAATTAACATACAAATTTGATTTCAGATTGAAAACGCATTTCTTTGCAAATAATTAAAAATCGCTACCATAGTAAAACCAAAAAGACCCTGTTTGGAAACATCATGTTACTTTTTCATCTGTCGATTTTATAACTGGTTCGGAACTATAGAAAAGGAAATGCAGCGACGACAATTTCTAATTCATATGGCATCGCCATGTCAAATTCGCCCGTTGTTTGCATGCGAAAGAGATTTATCGCGAACCAGTAGTGGGTCTAAATGTACTAGAAGCGCACCAGTTCAGAACTAGAGATTTTTCGCACAGGGTTTGGTCAATAGGGAGCGAGAAAACTGTTTTCTGAGCATACCTTTTATTATTGAATCATGTAAACGAACTGTCGTTGATCCCGCGTAAATGGTTTTACCGTTGTTCAAGTAATAAAAATTGTTTAAGTACTCGGAAAAATAAGATCCAAAATTTAAAATTATAAAAGGCAACAGTGATTTTGGTGCGGCAAATGTTAAAGCTGTTTAAAGTTTTCATCAGCTCCAGATTTTGACAAATACTAGGTCAAAGTGTCAAAAATCGCGTTTTTTGCCATATTTTAGAAGGTCTAGCAAAAAAAAAACAAAGGGTGATTTACCCTTAATTAAATTAAAGCTATGTATAAATAAAATAAATAATAAATTAAATAATAATATAATTAAATTGGTAGAGAGATATAATGAGTTGGCATCCCTGACCACTATGAATGTGGCTTTTTATGGTTTTTAACTATTTCTAATAAATAAATAGACTAGAAGTCTAGTTCGAAATTTTTCCTCTATAAACAAAAAAGTGATTACTATAGACTTTGGCAATATATGTACATTGCATAAACTGGGTTAATAAACGTACACAGCTATTGCTTACTCTTTCGGTTTTAAATTTTTACCCCGCATCAAGCACCTGCTTGCCCGCGCTCCTACGCGCGAGCTGTTCTGCCACCCAGCCCTACCCTACAACATTAGATACATATGTACGTATGTACATATGCGTCAGCCGAACGCATGCATACACTTAATGTCACGCGGATTTTGCCGACTTTCAAGCAATTCCTCATCATTCATCATATTTACCTATCATTCTCCTGCGAATACAAGTATCAACTTAAGACGCTACGCTTGTGATGGCCAAAGTGACAACATTAACCTATTTTAGCGATATTCTTAACTTCATAGAGCCTTTGATTAATTATCGAGTACATTAGACACGCATCGAGTTGTACATATACACACACACACATATACTACATACATACGTACGGTCATAAGTGCGTTATGTAAATTTCGCAACATACGCGAATTGTGTAAGATATCTTATTATATATATAATAAGAAAGACAATTACTCAAGGTTGAAGCACGACAGCTCGCCATTAAATGGCAAAAACTCATTCGCGCCAAACATTTAACGGATATCAAAAAGGTTTGCTTAGCAACAATGCGGATAATAAAGGGTTGCCATTTTCGTGTTGACGGGCGTCAAATCTGTCTGTTAAACCAAACGTATCATTTTTAGCAAACAGTCTGGATTTTACGCAAATGGATCGCTTAACCACCGCGTAATGCGTTACAATGTGTATGCATTAAAACCTAAATACACTCAGGTCTTTTTATTTTTATGCGGTAAATGCGTTCCTCAGAAAGCCCCATAAACAAGTTCTTTACTTTCATACAAAAACAAAGGATGTGTTCCAGAATTTTAAAAAACCGCATAGATTCAGATACTTCATGTAAAAATTTCTAAAAAAAACGCATACAAAATCCAGTAGTTTCATAAAAACCATTTATACTACACATGACTTCGTGGGTTAAGGTATTTCTCCTCAGATATTTATTAAGCCAATTTTGGATTTAAATACGGAATCAAAAATGCAAATATTTTTACTTTTCTAATAACAAACTCGCTAAAAACATGCAAAATATAAAGACATGAAGAAAATTAGAAACAAACCGTTTTCTACAGATTTTTTCCTCCATTTTTAAAAGAAAGTGCATAGTACATATTCGTAATGTTTATATGTATGTATATATGTAACTTCATTTGTTTAAATAAATGAACAATTGATGAAATCCCTTTCCCGCTCATCCCGAAATTCAAATTTAATTCCCGAACCCGCCCTTCCCCACGTTTTTCA